TTGGTGGAGCTATCGCGGCACCTCGCAGTAGTTCTTGGGGGGGGGGGAGCGCATATGTGTATATATATATATATATAACATACACACATGTTGAGCACATACACATAGACATACATACATACATACCTACATGCATGCATGCATACATACATACATGTATGTATATATATATATATACGTCTGTCTGTGTCTGTCCGTCCGTCCGTCCGTCCGTCCGTCCGTCCGTCTGTCTGTCTGTCTGTCTCTCTCTCTCTCTCTCACTCTCTCGCTCACGCTCTCTCTGTCTGTCCTTCTCTTTATACATACTTGTAGAGTGAGAGAGTTACCATATCCATATAATATCTCGAACCGCCCTGGTTGATCTGCGCTGCTGGTGGAGGCAGAAAGCAACTTAAACCTAAGAAGCCAAAGCTTTCAACCCAGGATCCATCTATATATATATATATATACATACATCTTTTGTTTGCTTACATGCCACTGTGTATGTGTGAGTAGGTACGTTTATGTGTTGGTATGTAACAGATAAAGCAAATACACAAATATAAGGTTACGTAGACAAAATGCATAATAGAAGATAAGTAAACAGACAAATAAATCAACGAACCGGAAAACTAACAGTTAAACTAGTAGGTAAGGTAAATGGTGAAACAAACGGATAGATAAATACATAAGTAGTTGCATGAACAAACAAATGAGCTACCAAACACACAAATAGTTAAAACACAAAAGCAAGTGAATAATTGCTCTCCGTCTCTCTCTCTCTCTATTTGCATATGTATATATATATATATATGTATACACATGCACATATGTGACAGTCATGGACCCTTAACACTTCACCTGGTGCTTCATGCATAAGAGTCGCACAGCGAGTTTATGTTTATCATGTGAAGATGCCAGAACCAAGGGCTTACGAGTGCTCGGTTTCAGGCATAGCATATGTTAGGCAGCTTGTGGATTGTCGACAGTGTCGTCTAGAATTCCCATGCTCTTCTTTACAGTTTGTCCTTATGCAAATAAAGGTGCAGGGCAGGCATTCCAAAACACTTCCTTTGGCTTGCTTAGGTCCACATTCCGGTCGCGGTGTTCTTTGTGGTCTTCTTCTTTGGCCACCACCTCCGCTTCTCGTGATACGGTGAGCATCCTTTGCCAGCTGGTATGTACATGTAACGCCACTACACGCTCATGTCTTATGCCAAGAGAACAGCCCCGACCAGGTCTTAGAGAGATTTGCAAGTGTCACAATGATTCGTGAGTTAACGTGCTCACTCTTGGTTAATGATCCGGGTTAATGTGCCCGTAACTCTGAACCCTCGCCTGCTTGTCGAGTGCGAGTGCCAAAAAAAACCACTACACAAATCCCAGATACCTTTATCCTAGAACCGGGATTAGCGTTTAGGGTTTTAGGGTTTAGGGTTAGCCCTTCTAGACCGCTTTCAAAGGAATCCTTAAGGAACTCTCATCCGAGGCTCCGGGCCGCAGATGTGGCTCGACAAGCTCTGCATACATCAGACGCGCCAGGATCTGAAGGAGAAGGGCCTGAAAGCACTGCCGGACTCTTGCCTAAAATGGGGTTTGAGGTTTAGGGCCTATGTATATGTGTACATCGTATTACATATATATACATATATATCATGATATAGATATATATATATATATATACATACATATTTATACATAATGCATCACCACCTCCGTCTTCATCATCACCATCACCATCGCCGGCCTCAACCTAGCCCAATCCAAAACCTGCGAGTTCCCAAGTGCTGACATGAGCTTGAACGGCCGAGCTTCCGGCAGCAAGACAGCTTTAGGGTTTAGGGTTTAGGGTTTAGGGTTTAGGGTTTAGGGTGTAGGGTTTAGGGTTTAGGGTTTAGGGTTTAGGGTCTTAATATATCCGTCAAAATAATTACCAATACTATCTTGGGGTCTTGGGGGTTCCTTATTAAAATATAGTTTAATGGGCCCCAAAACCCTTTTCTAATTATTACGGCCCCCATATTACTTATCTGGATCTTCGATGACGCTCATTGGCTCCGAACACTGTCGACCTTTCGGGATGTGTGCTGGTGAGCTCTGGCCTGCTCTTTGCGCGGCTCATTCCCCGAACTCGAGAGCCTGCAAGTTGCTTCAGCCCGAGTCCTAAACTGTGAAGCCATGCAGTCCTCTTTGCACCTGTCGTGCGGCGAGCCACACGGGAGCGTGCGGAAAGACTATGACAAGCTGGGCTAAAGCCCCAAAGCCCTTTGCACCCCAACCTAGACCCGACCAAACAGCGATCCCTCTGAACCCGAAACCCTCTAAGCCGTGCTTCAGGCCTCCCAAAGCCCTAAAGCCCCTAAAGTTTTCAGCCCAACATCGAGGAAATCGTCACGCTCTCGGACCGGATGCTGATCCTTTGGGATCCGGAGTACTTCGAGCGTTTGTGGTGTTGCGCTGAGGCCAGGAGGTCAGGATTCCGTGTGTTTTTTCCTTGTTTGCTTTTAGGTTTAGGGCTGATCTTGAAGGCGCAGAGCAGGGCTTTGATATAGCCGCCTTCGTCGGACGCGCGCACACTTGTTGGGGTCGTGTCTGGTGGTCCACAGTGGTAGCAGTCCTTGCATGGCATGTGCGAGCGCGAGTCTGAAACTGCAGCCCCTGTATGCCCCGCCAGGGCTTCACACAATAGTCTTCGCACAAGTATACTCAGATGCATCCCAAAACGTTTTTCTACCTATCAAGGCCCGTACTTCTTAGCTCTGCTGGACTGTGAAACCCTACTTTCAAGCCCAGTTGTGCTAGAAGCCTTAGAGCTGTGAAGCCCAGAAGCCTTGAAGCCCTACGCTCTAAACCATAGATGCTTCAAGCAACTACACCCACCTGAAGCCCAGAAACGTCAAAAGCCCCACTCGAATGTGCCGGCCCGACCACAAACCGACCTCTGAATCCTGAACTGTCGATGGGGTTGGTGCAATGTAACAACTGGGTCTTTGTTGGACACAAGTTTACATTCTTGATACAATAAAACCCGATAAGGATTAAACACGGTCATGTTCATTATAGCCCCAACAGGGAACCAGAACAATCTCAAACTTAAAACACTAAGCTGTAAACCTGACCCGCCTCACCGTGACCCAACAAAAGATCAAACCCAAGGCCTACTTGCTTAACACGACCCCCCACTCCCGCGAGCACAGAATCCTACAAAACGTCCAAACCTCCGTTCCCACCTTAAGAAAACAGATCCCTCTGCTCCTAAGCGTCGGAAGCCCTGTGCACCCGAAAGATGGTCTTGAAAACACTTGTGAAAGCCTACGAAAATTGCACTAAACCCTATAGCCCCAACAAATAAGCCGTGTCGTAAACCCTATAGCACCCTGAGAAGCCGCCCTTTAAGGTACCCCTTCAGCCGTGTGAATTCCGAGAACCCTCAAAACTCAGAAGCCCTGTGCACCAGCCGCTAAACCCCGAAAGCGTAAACCCTGAGCCAAAACCCTAGACCCTAGGGTTTGTAAGGTAATTGTAAGGGTTAGCCTAACGCGTAAACCTTAAGCCTTCCAGAGAATAAAGAGAATAAGCCCCCTTTGGACAGCCTTACCGGAACCTAAGCCCGAAACCCCGCAACCCTGACATAGAATAGTATATACAGGCATACATACATATATATATATATATATCTTCATGCAGATGTACATGCATATGTTTATATCATCTGTATGTATAGATGTTCACATGTACATATGTAAAAAAAATATATATATATATATATTCATCTATTTATTTGTTTGTGGGGAGCCCCTGAACCCTGTGATTGCGAAGGTGGCCATCTTTTGCTCCACGAAGTCTGGAGCCGACCAGGTGGACTTTGCGGGGGCCTCGACTCCCCGGGGGCCGGCGAAGCCCTAAGCCCTACCGGGACCTTTAGGGTTTAGGAGAAGGGTTTAGAGTTTAGGGTTTAGAGTTTAGGGTTTAGGGTTCAGGGACCCTTAGGGTTTAGGAGAAGGGTTTAGGGTTTAGGGTTTAGGGACCCTTAGGGTTTAGGAGAAGGGTTTAGGGTTTAGGGAAGCCCTAGCGGGACCCTTTTGAAACCTCCCTCTTGGGGCTCCTTAGTATGATTTCCTTAAATAAGCCCTTAACACTCTTCTTAAGAAAGAAATAGGGTCCGGTTAGTCCCTAGGCCCTAGACCCTTCTAAGTGCTGAAAACCCACGCAAGCCCTAGACCCTGAACCATACACGAGCTCCCTGCGGTGCGACTTTGACAGCTGCGCGCGTGGGAAGGAACCGCAGGCCCCAAACCCTAAAGCCTAAACCCTAAAGCCTAAACCCTAAACCCTATAAAGCCTAAAGCCTAAACCCCTACTGTAGACCCTGACCTAAGTAACCGTAAAACGCAGGATTCCAGAGGTGCGCTTCGGGCGAAACCATAGGCCCCGAACCAAGAGAGAGCCCTCAAAGGAGAGCCCCTAAAGGATCCCTTAAACGGGGAAGCTCGTGTTCAATGGTTTTTGCAATTTTTTTTGCTTTGAGTTTAGAACTTGGACTTTTTAGGTTGCGGGTGGCGTCAAAGGTTGGGGCTGGGTCAAGGTTTGCGAACGTGGCATTTACAGTGTGGTAAGGTCGGATCTGCAGGTTTGCGTCTCGGGGCATATGTTCCCTGGGATGCTCAAGATCTAGGTGTTGATTTGGGATTTAGGGTCTGAGTTGTCATCCGTCCGTTCGTTCGTTCGTTCACTTGTTCGTTCGTTCGCTCGCTCGCTCGTTCGTTCGTTCGTGCATTCATTCGTTCAGTCTGCACACTCATCCAAGCATTCATCCAGTTATTCATTCGTTCATTTATTTCAGTTCTCAGTCAGTCAGTCAGTCAGTCAGTCAGTCAGTCAGGCAGGCAGGCAGGCAGGCAGGCAGGCAGCCGGGGAGGGCAGGCAGTCGGTCAGCTCACTCGCTCCCACGCTGGCACACTCACCCACTCTCTCTCTCACACACGCACTCACTCATGCATGCATGCATTTCACATGAGCCAATAATCCACACACTCACACAGATCGATTCCCAAGGTGCCCCTGTGGATGGCACCCTGGGTGCTCTCCACCGTCTTGGCACAGGTGCCATGGGGGTCCGTATGCTGAGCTTAGGGGCCCAGGCACACTGTCCCGTGCCCGAGGATGCCAAGATGAGCTTCCGGCTGTCTGTTTCGATGTTGCGGCACTTCCAAAACGGGTCTTGTAAAGTGGTCGATGAGGGTTGCTACAACGGTTTAGTTTAATGTCGTCTTGCGCCCTGCTGCTACGACTGCTTCCTGCATGTAGAGTTACGCTTACGCTTACTGCGAGCACTGCCCTGCTGCTGCTGCCTCAGCCCCAGCAATGTGGTGCCAACTACTATGTCATAACCCTCCAAGTCCTTTCCGGTGATTGGCATTATTCGTTTGACGATGCCAGCCTTTAACCCCGAAGCTTAGGGTTTAGGGTTTAGGGTTAGCCCGACGAAGAAGCCCTGCCTGGGTTTGACCGAACTGCCAAGGTTGATGCTACCAATACTATGCGTTAAGGGTTTCTCGTTATAACTATAGTATACCACCCAGAGCAGTATTCCAATTCTGAAGGCCCCTAAATCCGAAAACCGCTACAGAACTCCATTAAGATCCTTATGCTACTTATGAAGGCTCCGTATTACCCCCAACCTTCCTTCAGACTAAACCCCTGAACCCCTAAAGCCCAAACCCTAAGCCCTTCAACCCCTAAGCACTAAGCCTACTTCAGCCGACAAGTTCTCAGTATCTCCATCTCCAAACCGCCTTTTCAGCCTTTTTGAGCCGGCAGGTGCTCAGTATCTCTATCTCCGAACGCCTCTTCAGCTTGAACCTCGCCTTGCGAGTTGTCATAAACGGTCAGGGAGTTCGGGTTTAGGCTTTACAATTACAGTATGGAAGAGGATTCAGGTGTAGGGTTTAGGGGAGTTGGGAGAAATAGATATGAAGAGTCTGGCTGTAGGGTTATAGGTTTACAGGTTGAGGATTCTGCGCAACACCCGGGGTGAAGATTATCAGCAAGGTTGGTATCATTCCTCGCCCACTTCGAAACAGGCCGAAACCCTGATGCGCAAGGAAAACCTACACCGGAAATTTGCCCGCGGATACGCAGCTGAAGGGCAACTTTCGGATTGTGGTTTTTCTGACTGTTGGTCCCGGGATACATGATTCGCAGCAAGCATACACAGAACTCGGTTCGTGTTAAGGGAACTTAAAATACCATAATAGGGTTCGATAGTAAAGAATACGGTTTCCTTATCACAGCGTTCAGAGACCCCGGTAGAACGTGATCGTCCGTTCATTGCGCGCTTAGGCGGTCTCGAAGTCTGTCAGCCGTTCGCGTTCCCGGTTGCGTTTTTTTGGTAGTCTTAACCTTAGATAGCCAAAGGGAGACATTTTAAACTTTCGGGCCTATATATTGAATCCTTTTCAAGATTTGAACTTTTGTGGGCTCGGTTATTGAAGAAGGGAGTAACGCTTCACACAAGTCTTTGAATGTACCAATGCTTTACCACAGCTTTGGCAAAGGATTGGATCCACTGGCGTGTATCTCTCAACTCTGCCGCAACTCGGCCGTCGTTCAGACATTTCGACTTACGGTTTCAGGACCCGGTTTAGGATTTTGGGGTTGTTTAGGCTTTGATCGCAAGTGTGTGTTGCATGCTCGCCCTAGCCGATACGATTTTGACAAGTCCCTAAACACTAAACCCTAAACCCTAAACCGTGGTAAACGAGGGTCGCTCTGAGCCGCGGTCCCTTCTCGGATTTCCATTTCCCACGCAGCCTCTTCTCATTTCGTATCTCCATACAGGGGAATGCTTTGGGCTAAGGGCAGAAATGAGTAGGAAATTGCCCGGGAATAATGCTTATGAGACAAATATAGAAAGAGTTAGCCCTTAATAGTAGCCGTATTATGGGTTGTCACTGCAGGACAGAGTACCCAAGGTAGGAGGTTTGAGCCAACCCGGTAATCGAGAAGACTACGGAAAAGCCCTACTTTCATCCTAAACCCCTAAACCCCTTAACCCTGCCGACTTTACCCTGTGGAACCTCGCTTGGCTTGTCCGAGTTGTGAGAACAGGTCCCAAGCCTCCAAGCTCCAAAACACTTTTTACATCCAGTCCCTAGGCCTAGAGACTCCAAAACCCTTTAGTCCACGAGTATGCCTAACTCATACTCGGATTCCTATTATAATTCTCAAGGGGGTTTAGAGTCTCTGGGGGCCGGAAGCCCGAAGCTTGCAACCTAAACTTAGGTTCGGGTTGGAGTGTGTAGTGGGGTCCTCCCCGTTTGCGATGAGTCTCACCCAGCCGCCTACGACCACCTGCCTCGCCTGGAGTGTCCGAGTGTGAGCGCCCTAAACCCTAAACCCTAAACCCTAAACCCAAACTTAGGTTCGTCCCTAAGGGGATCGTCACTTTGCTGGCCATGCTTCCTGGATTGAAGGGGCCAGGGCTTACGGCCCTGATGGCTGCAACATGACGTCTACAAGTACGACGACTTGCTGTTTAGCAAAGTCAGTTTAGGGTTTCGGTTTTACGGTTTACGGCTGGGGTTTAGAGTGTATAGGGTTCAGAAAGAATCGCAGGCCACGAAGCCGCTGGCAACAATCGACAGACAGGGCCGGTGGCTTTAACACCTTCCTGTCCTGCTGTCATCGTGGTCCCTTGATCCCCAAAAAAGCCACGTGCACCTTCAACACCGATGCCTAGCATTAGCATAGCTCGTGAGTTGAGACCCCTGTGAGCGACATGGGACGTGTTGACATGTTGACGTCGCGTAGCCTGGTTCCCGTTTGCAGCTTTTCCCTTGCTGCCCTTGCAAGTGTGACCCAAGCCTTGATGTGTGACCTGTGCTGTATGCAATGAATTATTATTATTGTTCTTATTACAATAATAATAATAATGTATGCAATGAATCGCCAGAGTCTCGACTGTCGCAGCTAGGTTTTGGGGCATTGGTGTCGGCTTTTGGCTGGGCGCTTTGCCGGCGGCCCCACTCAGTCTCCTGGCATTCAGGGTGGTCGGAGGTGCACCGTTTGGCATCTTGTTTTCTGTTTGGCCATGTGTAAACGATGGTCCAGGGCTTCAGGTTATTTAAGTCATAGTAGTCGACGTAGTCGTAGTCGACGTCGTCGTCATCGTCGCAGTGGTGGTGATGGCGGTGGTGGGGCTGGAAGTTGCAGTCGCAGTAGCAGCAGCAGCAACAGTAGAAGTAGCACTAGCCGCAGCCGCAGCTGGAGCCGTAGCGCCGTAGCAGGAGCAGGAGCAGTAGGAGTAGCAGTAGTGGCACTAGCAGTAGCATTAGCATTAGCACTACCAGTAGCAGCAGTAGTAGTAGTAGTAGTAGTAGTAGTAGTACTAGCAGCAGCAGCAGTCACAAAGTAGTAGCTGTATCAATATTGTCGAGCTCCTTCCTACCATAATCACCAGTCGCTTCAGGAAGTCTGGTCTTGCAGTTGTCTATGCCGTCGCCTTAGGCTACTATGCGCTGACCAACAAGATCACTCAGCACAGGCGGGTCAGTTCTGAGATTCAAGCACGAGGAAGCCACAATCTTACGGCTCAAGCACTGATGATTGACACTCACTGGCAACGATGCCCATGCTTTACACGGGCAGTGCTAGTGAGCGTAGATTGAGGTCGAGCTTCTCGCTGTCCAACATTAGTTCTGTTTTAGTGACTTGAAGAAACTTGGGCAGCTTACCAAACACCAGGTTCTCTGGACCCCGTTAATGTACATCTACCTCTCTTTTTGGCATACACATCTACACATGCAGAAATAATCATGTAGATATAATATACATGTATATATACACACATACATACAAGTAGACATACATTTCGTTCTTTTCCTGTTTATCCTAAACCCTAAACCCTAAACCCTGAACCCCAAACGCTGAAGATGTGGTTCCGAAGCCTTCGGTGTTTCAAGGTTTCTCCCAAAAGGGGCTTTGGTCGGACCCGTGGGGCTGGGAAGCCCTGAACCTAGGTAGTATTATTAGGGGTGCGCCTTAGAGGATACCCCTTCTGAACCCTACTTTTGGCTCTCTTAAAAGGGACCTTATTGAGAGGATCTATATCCTCAAGGGTCCCCCTAATCCTAGCTCCCTGAACCCCAAGAAGCCACCTGAAAGCGTGCCCAGCACTCATTCAGGGTTTAGGGTTTAGGGTTTTTTGGTTTAAGGGTTTAAGGGTTTAGGGTTGTTTTGGGTTTTTGGGTTTGAGGGTTTAAGGGTTTAGGGTTTTGAATCCCCCTAACCCAAACCCTAAACCGGGCTTGTCCTTGCTAAGTAGGAGGGAAAAAACCTAAACCTGGATACTTGCAAGGCTAGGTAGTATTAATAGGGGTACCCCTTAAAGGGTACCCCTTCTGAACCCTACTTTTGGCTCTCTTAGAAGGGACCTTATTGAGAGGGTCTATATCCCCAAGGGTCCCCCTAATCCTAGCTCCCAAAGGCGGATGCGAAAGATCTTCAAAACCTTCCGGGTGCAGGCGAGGCTTCGGTTCTCTCTGGTCGCACCGGTTTTTTCCACTCCTCAATATAAGGTTTGGGTTTAGGTTTTAGGGTTTAGGTTTTAGGGTTTAGGGTTTAGGATTTGGGGTTTGGGGTTTGGGGTTTGGGGTTTAGGGTTTAGTATAGTTTGGGTTATGAGAGGTTTACGACAGGGGTGCTTCTGTTTCGGCTCCTTCGTTACATGGTCGGGTTGCCCTTAGATGTTTCGTAGGAGCCCGAAGCGCGACAGACTTGACAACTGAGGCCATGACGCAAATTCTAGACTCTGAGCCGCGTAAACCCGAAGCCGTGAGCCCTGAAACCCAAACCCGAAGCGCATGACCGAGGTGTCTTGGCCCTGGAAAGTAAGGGGTTTCCTAAGGGCAGGGGGGTCTCTCTCCTTGTAATATAAAAGGCAGACAACTTATAATTCATCTAACACCACTCCATGGGGTTCCTTCGCGTAATTCATGGACTCTAGTATGCCCCCGAACTTATTCTAATTGCTGAGCCGCTGCCCCACAGCACAACCCCCAAACTCGGGGATTCAGAATGAACCCTAAAACCTTGCAGCCTAA